CCACGCAGCCCAGTTGCTGTCATGCCCTCCCTGCTCCGTTTGCCTTATTTTATGATTATTCTCTTTGGCAATGGCACCGCCTGAGAACTAAGCTGAGCAAGCACAGCACCCGCCCCCGCCCCCGCCCCCCACCAGAGGGTTTGCTCTGCTCCCTATGGCTGTGTTGAGGTCTCTTCCCTGCAAAGCAGTCAGCTCCCTGTGGGCGGCTAGCTTCCTCTCCATCTCCCCATTGCAGACTCCCAGGTGACCTGGGCCACCGCAGGATGTGCAGGGGGCATGTAAGCTTTGGCATTAAGTAAATCTGGGCTCCGTCCTAAACTTCGCTACTGAATAACATTTCTAATTTACGGAGGGCTTACCCTGTGCCAGGCACCACGCCATGTGTTTTATATCAGTTTGTTTAATACCACAACTCTGTGAGTAGGTATTATCCTCATTTGACAGATGAAAAAGTTGAGTTCAAGGGCAGGTCACCTATCCTTTGCTCAAATGCCTCCTTGTCAGCGATGCCCATCCTGACCCGCCCTATTTAAAATGGCATTCGGCCTCTCTCCCAGCACTCCCAGTTTGCCTGAATGTTGCCCTTCAACCTGCCCCCAAACAGTACCTATCGCCTTCTAATACACTATAAACTTGCAATGTTGTTTAGCGCCTGCCATATGTCACCAGAGCATTCCTGAATCTTTGCCCATGTTGCTCACAGATGTACATCCCAAGTCACTAGAATTATGCCAACATTCAGTAGGTGTCCAATCAGTGTACACCGAGTGACACCTGGTTAAATGATTTACCCAGGTGTCATTCACCTGGAGATTGCCCCTCATAAGGCTTAAGGACACAGGCTTTGGAGTCAGGCAGTTGCAGGTTTGAATCACAGTTTTTGCCACTTAGCTAGTTGCATGACCTTAGTAACTTATTCTTCCTGCTCTTCAGTGTCTTTGGTAATAAAATAGACTAATAATATTTCTCTCCTAGGATGGGCGTGAGGATTAATGGAGATACATATGTAAAGTTCTTGGCACGCGGCAGGCGCCTGTTCCATAAATGCTGGCTCCTTTCCCTGAGGAGGGTTGTTTTTTCTCTTCTTGCTTCTCGTTTTCCTCTGACGGCCTACCCTTTTGATCACTTCGCTGTTCAACAGCAGTTCCCTAAGAGGTCAAGCCACTAAAGGAGGGGCTGGTGTTATCTTCTGAGGCATTAACCAGCCAGTACTCCCTCGCCCTCTCCCTTCCTCCGCCCAGAATGTGCCTGTTACTAAGGAGACAGAACAGCAGCCCCTGACAGGATTTCGCTGGGGTCTGACTCACACCCAAGCAGAGAGACAATGGCTGACCCTGGGAGGCTCGCCTAGGCTGAGGGTGTGGGTGGGGGCATCGTTCTGCAATCTGCTGGAAGAACCCAGCTGGCTCCCTGAGAACATGAAATGAAGTGTTGATCCTCCTGCCTCCAGCGGCTCTGGGGCAGTGATTGACGGCCCCGTTCGGAGGCTGCCGTGAAGTTCTTGCTCGGGCTGCAGTCCTTTGGTGCTGGTGGGCTGTGAGGCCCGGACCCTGGGAGGGGGCCATAGCAGCCAGAGTGACACATAATCAAACTCCTGGCCCTCAGAATGGCACCTCCCCAGAGCAGGGCTGGCAACTGTGGACGATTCACGACTCTGTGTCTGCGAAGGCCAGCCAAGCTGGCCCAGTGAGAGAACTCAACACAGGCACTGCCGTCTCTTCTTGCAGCTTGAATGTGATCATGGGGAGACTCTCAGATCTTAGGTCCTCTGGGGACTCCATTCCTTCCTTCCCAACCCGTCCCTTACCCCTGGGCAGCAAGAGATTGTGGCTTTTGCCTAACCAATTAGCCACTCCAAATGGAGAAGCAGCAGCAGAGGTTAGAGCACAGGGTGGGGGCTGGGCTGCTGTGATCGAGCCCTGCTGCCATCTTCCCCAGCTGTGTGGCCCCGGACAAACCACTCAACTTCTCTGTAAAACTGGGACAATTAGATCTCTTGCCTCTTGCGACTGTTGTGAGGATTAAACGAGTCGATTCTTGTAAAGAGTTTCGGTCCAGTGCAGACACTACGAGCTTACTAGATGTAAACTATTATTGTCGTTCTACAGGGTATGGTTCCTGGGAAGAGAGTGTTCTTGGGCAGAATAAAAATGGTATTAATTTTATTATTTGGCTTTTCTTGGGGAAAAAAATGGCATTCTGGCAAAGTTAGCTCATCTTCCTGCTCTGCTGGAGGGAGTCATGACCAACCCCTTCAGAGGGGGTCCAGCTCCTTCATTTGCATAATCCCTCCCAGGCCCAGTCCTCTATTGGTCAGCCCCGGAGGCATTTACTGTTTCTGTTACAAACTCAAATCCAGCTAATAAAGATGTCAGGAGCGGGGCTAGGAGACAAAGAAAAGACTGAATTGTCTGTGTTTAGAAGGGGAAGGCAAGAGTTTGGGCCCCCATGGGCCTCCGGTGGGAACCCTGCGATGGATAGCTTGGGTGTGGTCCTGTGCCCACTTATCTGTGACTGGTTCAGCAAATAGCAGCAAATGCCCTCGACGGAGGCACTTGGCCCACTGGGGAGGCCTTGTTATTTTGGAGCAGGTAATGTTGAGTTGGTTTACTACCCACTTGTCCCTTGTGTCTTTTAGCCTTGGTATTTCTTCTGACAAAAGCATCTTGGGGGCAGGAAACTTAAGCCACTCTTTGGAGGGACCTTGTCATATTCCTTATGAGGGGGACCCGGTGCTCGTCACACAGGAGGTTCTCAATGAATGCTTGTGAACAAATGCGGAGAGCATGCTTTCTGGTATAGCAGCCCCCAAATTTAGCTAGATCTTTTAGAAAGCCCCTCTGAGTCCCATTCCTATCCCATGCACTGGGCTCTGGGCTGGGGGAAGTTAGTGTGGGGACAGCAACCATGTCACCTGAACTTACCACTGCATGCGCAGAGCGTAGCTCAGTACCTCGCATATAGTGAGCGCTCAACCAACATTTGTTGAATGAATGAATGCATCTAGTGGAAAACCTGCTTATCCTGGAGTTGGGATAGTTGTGCTCTTAACAGCTGGCGGGAATTTGAACTCCTCTTGGTAACTCATCTGGCCCCACTGACCAAATAGGATAAAACAACAAAAATACACCCTCTTATAAGAAACTCAAAGTGCAGCGATTCATAGTTACTACTTATAAGGCATCCTCTGAAATTTGCTATCACTGTGAACCTCCCGATGTCCTTGGCACGCTGCCTCGCTAGCTGCCCTGTCCCTTATTTCTTGTGTTGTGTGTGCAGCCAGTCAAAGGACACTGTTATCTTGTCATTTACCATTGTAGTTGGAGCCATTGCCTCTGTGGGTTTTGGGTTTTACTTATCTTACTATCTTAGATGCACTTGTTCGTTTCTAAAAAGGCAGCATCTTCCAGAAAGACTAGGGAAGGGTCTGAACAGTGACAGCGCTGTCTGTCCCCCCCCCCCGCAATGACAGTGTGGTGAGAGAGGCTCCAGCCCTGGCTCGGGGACCGCTGGCTCCGTGACCTTGGGCAGGTCACTTCATCTTTGAGCCTCATCTCTGGGGTTCTTTCAGATCTTTAATTCTATGTCAACACAGAAGCGTGGGCTTCTCAAGAGTGGAGAGATTTTTAAGTTGGTATACGCTTTTCTGTGAAATTGTAGCTGTTTTTATTTGAAAATTTTTCATTTAAGCTCCTGTTCTGAGTGTAAAAACAGTACTAGCTACAAGGCATTTGTATTTTGTGATTTATTGGGAGTATTAATGTTATATAAGAAAATGGTAGGGTTTTTTTTTGTTAGATATGTTTTAAAAAGGTTTGCTGCATTCTTAAGTGTTATTTTATTATGTCTTGGGGTGGCTTTTTCCTCCATGAACAACAGATTTGTGATTTATAATGAACCTTCACTGCTGAAGTTGGCCATGAAAGTATTCTATGGCCCTACATCATTCCCAAAGGGTGTTCTGGCTACAGGAGCTTCCAGTTTCCAAGCGTATTGCAGAGGAAACCAGGCCGCAAGGTCCTTTTCAAAATCCGGGTAACCTGAGACTAGCCATGCCTACGTCCAGTTACATACTGAGGTGTCTTAGGAAAAAAAAGGGGGCCCCTAGGGATATACCAGCCCAATTCTCTTATTTAGATTAGGCAAACTGAGGCCCAGAATGGAGGCGTGACTTTCTCCAGGTAAAAGGCCCAGAGTAATCCCTCTGCATCTGGGTCTTACTCACCTGGTCCAAATCCCAGTCCCCCAAATGTGACCATTGGTGCACACACCCAATCCATTGCTCATGCCCTGGGTACTGTCCCTATCTCATGATTTGCTTTCCAAGGGCCACCTGAAGGAAGGGCTACTGCTGATTCACTGTTCCCACCAGCATCTACTTTGCCCCAGACACATTGTTTCTCCATCAGCTAGGAACTAATATCCAGCAGAGAGTTTATTGGCATAATTTCTTCAGAAAGAGGCTGGAAGACTTAGCAAGTTCAAACTTTAACATTTTTATCAAGAATCCCAAAGGGCCACCCTTTTCCCCTCCCATCGCCGCTGCCAACCCCCCTCAGGCTTTCTCTGCCATAGGAAGCCAGGGCGCGCAGAGCAGCAACAGCACAGGCCAACCGGCAGGCACGTGGTACATTATCAGTCACTGAGCAAGCAACTGCCTGAGGGCCATCTTTGATAGGGGCAGAAGAAGCCGCTCATGACACGGGAGGATACAGAAAATACAGGACTATCTTGATTCTTCTGGAATGAGGGAGGCTGGATTGGGGCTGAGGGGAGACTTTCCTTTTCTGTTTTCTCAGAAAATATGCAAAGAAAGGCTTCACAAACAACTGAGATTACACAAGTATCAGTTTCCCAAAATTCCCTTTTCAAAGATGGCCTCCCCGCTGTCCATTCAGAGAGCTCGCAGCAGAATCTACTGGGTGTGGAGAGAGACAGGCAGCAGGAGGAATTTAGTTTTCCACAAAGGTTGTTGGTTTTTTTTTCTTTATTGATGGGATTTATAATGCATATAACTGAAGGCAAAGTCCGAGGCCTAGAGAAAGATATGAGGCCCAAGAGAGAGGCTCAGAGATTCTAAAGGCTGCAGAAGGATACCCACCTAAAAAGGCCACTTGAGCTGCAAAAAGGATGGAGCAGAGAGATAGAAAATGGGTAAAAGAGAAAGGGGATGGGGGCCGGGTGGGGGTGGAGGAAAGTAGTTGGGAGGAAGAAGACAAATACCAGTTCAGAAATTCAGACAAAGATATATAGTAGGAGCTAGTTTATATCCCAGGTAGGAATAGATGGGCTGGCCTTAAGGTAAGAACATTTGCTTTAGGAAATGTGAGAAGGGAGAAATAAGAACAGTAATGGCTTCTGGTCAGAACACAACACCCCAAGGGCCCTTCCGTTGGTCGCAGTAGTGATGGGGCTCCCCTAAGCCTCTGTCATGGTCTTCCTGGAGACTCAACGAAGGGTCTCAGGAAACTCCATCCAGCTGGGAGAAGGCAGGGGCTGGGGACCTTGATCTGGGGCCTCCCCAGAGCTCCCAGCAGAAGGTGACCCCCTTTTGCTACTAGACTGTGGCCAGGACTGACTCACCCACACAGGCTGTGCCATCTTCATTGGGCTCGTAACCCCTACTGCACCTCTTGTTGGTCCGACACCTGTAGCTTCCATATGTGTTCACACACACGGGCTTGTCTCGGGGGCACACAAATGGGAACTGGATGCATTCGTTGGTGTCTGAAAGGTAAGGGAGTCTGTTACTCAGGGTGGGGGCATGGGTCCTTGCTCAGGCTCTGCTGTCCCACACACTCTGTGACTTGAGACACGTCCCTTTTCCCTGGGCCTCAATTTCCTCACTTCAGTCCCCTTGGCGGGCTTCTACTGTGTTTGACCTCTACATGTGAGGGGTGCTCAGGCTTTGTCCTGGGTCTTCTCTTCTACCTACCACACTTTCTCTAGGTGGTCCCTTCATACATGAATGATTCCAGACTTCCTATATCCAGCCACAACCTCTCCCTGGGGCTCCAGACTCATAAATCTGTCTAACGTGCATCTTGAACTTAGTAGGTCCCAAATGGAACTTTAGATTCCCTCCAGTCCTCAAACTTCTTCTGCCCCCTGTTCCCATCTTTCCTAGCTCAATCAATGCCACTATCGTCCACTCAGCTGCTCAAGCAGAAATTAGTGCGATCCCCAATTCTTTCTTTTTCCCTACCCCTGCAGGCAATTTAACAATAGATCCCTCCAGCTCTGCCCCCACAGTATCCCTCTCGCCTGCCACCTGCTTCTCATTCTTCTACCACCAGCCTATTCCCAAACAGCACCATCTCTTGCCTGGATTTCTGCAGCTGCCTCTTGACTGGCCTCCTGGCTTCCACTTCTCCCTCCAATCCAACCTGCAATTTGGCAGCCAGAGTGATCTTTGAAAATGTAATCATGTCATGCCACTCTCCTGCTTAGTGGTGCAGGGCCCTACGAACAAAGTCCAGACAGCTTCCTGGGGCTTCAGGACTCTCCTGGACTTGGCCCAAACTTCTCCAGGCACATTGGCCTCCTTCCTGCTCCTCCAACACTTTGAGCCCTTTTCCTGCCTCGTGGTCTTCACTCTCCCCACTGCCAGCAGAGCTCTCCCTCAGCTACTTCTGTGGCTGGACCCTTCTCCTCTTTCAGGTCTTGGCTCAAAGTTCCCCTCTTCTGAGGCCCTTCCCGACCACTCTGTGCAGAACGGTCTCCAGAGAGCACCTTGCTTGAAAGGTTATTAACTCCTGTAGTCCAGCTGTTCACGAGTTGTGGTCTGCTGCCCCCATTAGAAGGAACAGCCTCCAGGGGAGGTGCTGGGCCTGAGTTCCAGGCTCCCCGGAGTCACATATATGTCTGCTGGGTAGTGAAAAGGAGGAGGTGGCCGGAGTGGTGATTCACAGGGTCCTTCCGGCGCACAGGGAAGACTCTGGAATTTCTGTTCAGAGTGGCCAGACTGGGGACATGGAGAGTGGAGGGGACTCATTTCCTACTCAAGCCACCGTTAGCGCCATTCTCCTCCACTTTCTCACCTGGGGTCACCTGTCCACTCAGTGGCTTCCACGGGAACACTTTCTCCCCGCTGTGCCTGGTGCATTCCCCTTCATCCCTCAGGCCTCAGCTCAGACCTTGCTCTCTCTGGGGCATCTTCTTGAACCCTCCCTGGACTGGTTTAGGGCCCCACCTTTGTGGTCTCACAGCCATCCCACCCCTGTCCCCTGCCCCAGCCCTGCTCACACTCTGTGGGCATCACTGTTTACTTGTGTGCCTCTCCCATTGGCTCTAAGCCCCTTGAAGACGGTGACTTTGTCTGTTGTGTTTACTCTTGTATCTCAGTAGCAACCCCATTTGCATGGGGTGACAGACACCTGCAGAGTGGATTTGGGGAGAATACTTCCTGAGGGCCAAAGGTAGGAGGCATCCTTGACCCGACCCCTCATGGCCAGCCAATGGGATGGAAGATATCTGAGAGGCTTCTGGATGCTGAGCCTCCAGGCTGGCCTTCTCCCACTCCCAGTCCTTGGGGGACTTTGAGAAGGTCGCTGGACCTTCCCAGAGCTGCTGTCCCGGCCATGCTCCAGCCACCTGCCCCGCCGTACTGCACAAGGCCACCGCAATCCCCTTCTGTGCTGAGGTCATACTCCATACCCTGGCTTGCTCCAAAGCCCCTGGCAGTGCCCACCTTTGCCTGCCAGGCCCTTGTGTGCTGCTCCAGGGGCTGGCCAGCCTGAAGCTGCCACAGCCCCCAGGAGCCAGGCCTCCCTGTGAGCGCTGTCCAGGCGGTTGTGTGTCTCATGGCCACACTCTTCCTCTCTGTGTTCATGGCAGGAAAGCACCGCCAATTCCCCAAACTGTGGTGATGCTGCCTGCTGGTTGCTAACATCACTCCTGCCTTAGTGAGTCATGTGGCGGTTGTCTTGGCATCTGGAGCTCCAGGGACAAACAACACGCTCCCCTCCCCACCTTTCCACACCTTGTCTGCAGCCTGAGCCTTGCCAGGGCTCAGGCTGTGCTCCCAAGGAGATTCTGGCCTCTGGCCCATTCCCCAGTGTTTGCAGGCAACTCACCCATGCAATGACCGTTTTCGTGCTGGGAGAATCCTTGGCCACACTGCAAGGTGGGCAGAAGCAGAGACATTAGTGAGTTGAGAAGATCCCATCTCAGGCCTCCTCCTAGTCACAACCACAGAGCCGCTGCCACCCGGACCCCAGAATGAGAAGTGCTTTAGCTCTGGGCCTGGGGGGAGCTCCTCCCTGCCAGCATCTTTTCCCTTGCACTGAGAATAGGACACTGGGGTAAGGGGACAGCCAAGAACAGATTTAGTCCAAACCCCTGCTCATTCCCCTCACATAGGACCCATGTGTCTGAGCTGGAAGAGCTAACAGAAAGCGGCCCTCCCGTGGCCTTGCCTTGAGACTGAGGCTGGGTCTCCACTGGGGCAAAAAGCAATGAGGGGTGGGAGAAGCTTTCTGAGGTGTCTGTTCACTCCCCACCCTCTTCTCTGAGATCCTTACCCACGCACAATGGTGGGCGTCTGCAAGCCAGGCTCTCCCCGGCTTCCCTGGGCAGGGCCGACTGGACCAGCGGCGGACATCCCAGCAGGAGGAGGGAGGCAAAGGCTTTGTGGCTGGAATTTGAACTAACTGATTCCGAGACAAACTTGGAAACCTGGTCATGCCAGGCTGTGGGAGCTTTGCTATGTCTGTGTGAGGGTCTCAGGGACAGCAGACCGGTGGTGGGTTGGGGGGATTCAAAACAACACTTTATACAAGACAGGAAATGTTAACCGTGGGTACCGAGCGATGAGGAGGAGCTGGAGGGGATGACTGGGGAGGGGCCATGACCACCTCACCCTGAAGCCAGTGCACGAGTGACAAAGGTTCTTGAGCTCCTGAGGCTGAGGCCACTGAGCTGCCATGGTTTCTGCTCATCCTTACCTTTCCCTGGGACTTTGTGAACTCCCCTACAAGTCTCCTTGTAAGTCTCCTCTTCTGTGTGAATTTAAGTGAGTTCCTGTTATTTGCAACCAGTTGAGCCCCCTCAGAGTTAGAACATAGAGCTCTTCCCTTTAAGAGCCCCCAGAGGCCCTATCCCGCCCTTAGAAGCAACAGGAGGCTTGTCAGAGACTTGGAAAGAGCTGGGAGGGAAACAGGAAACCTGTGGTCAATTTTTAACTCTGCTCACAGTTGGCTGTGCAGATGGTTTCTTGATCTTTGTCTTGGTTTTCCACCTCTGTAAAATGGGTGCAAAAATCCTGCCAATACCCTAGGGCTGTGAGGTGCAGAAGAGATGTGTGCGTGGTACTATCGTGCGAACTATAAATGGTGGGGTGCTTTGCTAAGATTTCCATCATTCCAGAGGCAAAGTCTGCAAATGTCTGGAAATCCATGGGTTTGTGGATCGGGCCTCTTTTCTGGCTATGAGGTCCAGATGCATTTCTCACCTCCAGTGGGGCTTGGTCCTGAAGTCTGTCCTCATCCCGGGGGTAGGGGATCTCTAGCACCGAGTTCATCTCCCCGCTGGCCACGTTCCGGCTTGCCATCTTGCCATCTGGCCATGTCACCTCCACGCTGCTGGCTTCATCCTTCCCTGTTACACAGAAGGAGGAAGGGTCAGCAGCAGCGGAGAGCGGGAGGGGCGTTCTCAGAAAAAGTATCATCATTCATTTATTCATTCATTTAATAAAAAATATTAATTGAGCACTGTTCTAAGTGCTGGCATACAGGGAACAGGGCAGATGCGTTCCTGCTCCTGCAGAACAACACTGTCCAAAAGAACACTCTGCAGTGGTGCGCTGCTCTCTGTCTGCTGTCCAGACGGTAGCCACCAGCCACAGGTGGCTGTCGAGCACTTGATGTAGGGCTAGTGTAATAAGGAACTGAATTTTAAATTCTATTTAGTTTTCATTAAGTTACATGTATTGACAAATAGCCACATGGCTAGTGGCTACCATATCGGAGAGTGCTACTCCAGAACTTACACCCAGCGGGTGTCCAACCCGTGGCCCGCGGGCTGCATGTGGCCCAGGATGGCTATGAATGCGGCTCCACACAAAATCATAAATTATGCATGGAACCTTTTTTTTTTTTTTGCTCCTCCGTTTTCATTAATGTTTGTGTATTTAATGTGTGGCCCAAGACAACTCGTCTTTTTCCTGTGTGGCCCAGAGATGCCAAAAGGTTGGACACCTCTGCATAGGCCAGTCTGCATGAGGCTGTTCTGGTGGGAAGCAGGTTGACTGCGTTGTGCTGGGTTCAAACTTTGGCTGTACCACTTGCCTGGGAGGTTGGAAAGAACATGGTGGGAGGTGGATAGCTGGGTGACCTAGGGACAAATCCCAGCTCCGCAGCTGACGTGCAGCGAACATATTTATATTTCTGTTTATGTCTATATGGATATTTATAGCCTGCTAGGGGCCAGGCTCTTTTCTGTCACTGGGAATGTCCTTGTTTTCAGGGAGTTTCCACTCTAGTGGGAATAGACAGGCAAACAGATGAAGAGATAGGTAACGTCAGATACTGACAAGCTCTAAGAAGAAATCTAAGAAGAAAACAAAAATAGGGGAACGGAGTAAAGGGGGTTGGCTGGGGGCCTTTTCTAGTCAGGGTGGCTGGGGAGAGGCCCTTGTGGAGAAGGTATTCGAGCTGAGATCTAAATAAAAGCTGAGGATAAAGACCCAGACGGGGGAGGGCGCAGGAGAAAGGCTGCTCTAGGAAGCTGAGATGTTTACAAAAGCTGATGGAGAAGCTCAGAGAATATTCCTGGTGAATCCATACATCCAGAGAGCACACATCCATAGAGTAATGCATTACATCACTGGCAGAAAACAAGTTGGAGAGATTTGTCAGATGTTTAGGGGTTGTCAAAACCGACCCCAGTTCCCTGCTTAAGGCACCAGGCCTGTCGCGTGGCAAGGTCAGGCTAATGGTGATGGATTGGGGTGGAGAGGAGAGGCAGCTGAGCCTCACCTGCAGAGAGAGGCTGTTCTCCTAGGCAGCTGCTCGGGGAAGAGGGCCACACTCAGGAGGGAGAGAGGGTGCAGCCCCTTTGTCATCACCCACTCAAGCTGACCAGATGTGGGTCGGTGCTCAGGGGTCCACACCTGCAAAAACACTCCCCCAAGCATCATTCGTGAGCTGAGGAAATAATATATCACCCGCATGGATGTGCTACTTTCCCCTTAATGTGTATAGATACTGTTAAAAAACAAGTGAACCCAAAAAGTGCTGTTCAATTTATAGTAGCTTTTGGTCCTTCTTGTCCATCTGTGGATTTTATAGTGATAGATACTATGAGGACGGAGGGTAGTTTGTGAAACATCTTCATGTATAAATAGGGTTCCCATGTTTTAGAAAAGACTTGGAAGCCACGTCCAGACCTGGCAGAGAAATCCATGCAGAGGTGGCTCTGGGGGTGGGGCTCAGACTGTGTGGTGGGGAGGGACCCGGCTGCTGCTTTCTCCTGAGCCCCAGCCTCCCTGTTTTGAGCTAACGAGGGTGGTGACCAGCTGCCACAACCTGGAAGTGCCAGGGGTGAGGAGCCCCTCCTCTGCGGGAAGGTGGCCGCAGCACCAGGGAGAAGCTCCTGGAGGGAGCAAAGACTCCCATACGAGGTGCAGCTTCTCTTCCCAGAGTCCCTCCCTCCCAGCCCAGCCTTCCCAGTTCTGGGGTTTGCCTTATTCAGCTAGAAAACACTTCTCATAGCCCCTCTACTCCCCCTCCCCTCATTCTATAATAACTCCTTTTGGGGAAGGGGGTAGAAATGGGATTGGGGTGTCAGCTACAGACTTTTTTCTGTTTTGAAGTAATTTCTTTGAGATTCAAAAGACTTGGCGTTTGTAGGGAGTCAAGTGTCCAAATTACGTGGCATATGTAAAAAGTAAGCACTTTTTCCATTAAAAAAGGAGACAAAGAGAAGCAACTGTTTCTCACCTAAGCCAACAGAACAGCTACATGAATACATTTTCCAGACTGACTGAAGTGCCACAAATAACTCCAAAGAGTTGCCGAATATTCATAGACAATTACAAATTTACATCCTGTGTTTGCGGCACACAGTTCTGAGTCCTGCTCGCTCCCTTCCTCCAGGCCCGGGGGAGGGGCCAGGGCTCCGCGATGAGTAAGCTCTGAGAGCACATCTCAGGAGGACTTGCCCCTCCGCCGATGATTATTTTGCTGACTTGGATTCTCTCTCGGGGCCTCGGTTTTTCCATCTGCAAGATGGGGGTGTGACCTAGAGCTCTAGCACTTCTGGGGAGAACGGTCCTTCTTCCCTGGAATGTGAGCCCTGCCCAGCTGTCACCCTCAGCACCTCCACCCTCAGCATCTCCATCCCCTTCGCAAAGGGCTTTCACTGTGTGCAATAATACAAGAAAACATGTACCCCTAACTGTTCCAGGTGACTCTTGCTGTTAGCGCTCTAGACCCTCACGGCAGCTCCATGAAGAAGGTACTAGTTTTCTCATTTCCATTCGAGAGCTGAGGGAGCTGAGACTTGCTACCTGCTACACCCTTTTTCTACTGATCTACAGGCCAGACCCACCACGGCCGAGCATCATGCAGGGGTCTGGGATTCAGAAGGAAGGAGACGGGCCCCGGCCCCACCCTGGAGGAGCTGAGTCCTGGGTGGGCCATGGACATAGTGGGTGTGTTATAAGAAGCTGGGAAAGTGCAGCCATAGCATCGGTACCACTTGGCGAGAGAGGTGCGGTTAAAAGTCATTTAGACTGGATGTTGCAGAAGTGTGAGAGTTCGAGGCAGAGAAAGGAAGGAAGGAGCATGCCAGGCGGCGGGTGCAGCATGGGCAAAGGCATGAGGTGTGACAAGGGCCTCTGTGTTTGATGAGCAGGGAGAGGCTCAAACTGGAGAACGCAGAGTGTGAGAATACATATTAGGTGGGGCGGATGGGAGAGGAGGCCAGGAGGGACTTTGGAGCCTTAGCATGTGTGGCTGAATTGAACCTTCCCAACTCCTCTGCGAGGTGGGCGTTTTATCCCCACTCTCCAGATGCAGACATTGAGGCTTGGTGAGGTGAAGGGACCCGCAGGTGCTTGAGCTGGAACTGGAACCCAGGCTCTGGTCCCCAGGCCCAGATGTTCCCTCTGCCCCAGACATCTCAGGTCTTCAATCAGTGGCGCAGCCAGGGGCCCCTGCCTCCCAGACACTGCCCGGGGCTGCCTGCCTGCCAGGCCTGTGGGTCCTGTGAGCAGAGGTGGGTCCACTAACCAACCAGGCCCTCTGGAAGCTTTTAAAGAACAAAGGCCAAGCAGGCACAGAGAATTGTGCTTTTCAGAAGAATTACAAGCAAAACAGATGGTGGGAATACAGTTGGTGGAATATTTTTGCACTTTAATAAAGCAATTTTCACGTGGGCCACTGAATTTTCCTTCCCTAAATGAGCACCAGCCGGCATGGAGGCAGCTCTGAGTCACTTGCAAACAACTAGCTGAAAGGGAGGTGGTGTGTGTGGGTGGGAGGCGCCCTCAATGCCTGGGGTGGGCTGGCCGAGTGGGGGAGCCCTTAAGGGGGCAAGCAGATTATTGGCACTTGTTTTCATTTTCTGGGTCTTGCTGAGCTGCCTCCGCCCTCTGCTAGCCAGGGCGTGGGATACGCAGAGTGGGTATGCAGGAGCTTGCGTGTGAGTTCAGAGCAACCAGGGGGCAGAGGGGGCGTCCAGCAAGGGCTGTGAGCGGAAACGCTCATTTATGAGGCTGGCAGGCCATCTGCCCCAGGAGGAGCAGGGAAAGGTCAGAGAAGGGTGGAGAGGAAGGAGAGACAGGCCAGGGGCTCCCCTGAGCAGGGCGGCCGGGGTAGGGGCTGATGCCTCCAGAAGGAACAGTCCTGCAGGATGAAGTGGGGAGCGCTCTGCACCACACAGTGGGCCCTCTGGGGACCCCCCCCGCCCGAGAATGAAACATCCAGGTTCATTTTTACTGTGTGATCCCCCACCGCCTGGGCCCTCCAGATGCACGTGAGGGTCTGAGAGGCTGAGCCCTCTAACTGGCCATGCAGAGATGAGCCAACAGATGAGCTGCGGGGCAGGGGCAGGGGCTGGGGTCGGGGGGAAGGAAGCGCCCAGGAGGCTGTCTGCTGATAGGCACTTGTGTGCATGCACATACATGTCCACACACTTACCACTCCCAGCTGCAAGGTCAGGAGGAAGCAGGGGTGATTCGAGGAGGGAGGAAGGAAGCAGGGTCAAATTGGGGTGAACAGGAGCACAGTGAGTGCTGGAAGGGGAGTTCCCTGCAGCCCTCTCCCTTTAGAGGCCTCTGTTGTCTGGCATAGCTTTGGGCTCCACATCTACTTCTCAGTAATTCAGGCCTTTAAGGCAAGAGTTCCTTGCATTCATGTTTTGGACATGACCATTCTCACCCCAAACACTGCAAGACTAACTGTCCATCAACAGGGAACTTGCAAGGTAAATTATGAATGCTGCCGCACAACAAAATACTGTGCAGCAAAACATTAAAAATAGAGCTGCCATATGATCCAGAAATTCCACTTCTGGGTACTTAGACAAAGAAAACAACATTAATTAGAAAGAATACAGGGTCCAGCTTGAGTGTGGTTGGTAGGATAATAATGTGTGTGTAATAATTTATAGTTTTAATTTGAACATTTAGCCTAACGTGTCATATGGTGTGCTTGAGTGTGACATTGTTGTGTTACAGAATTACATACTTATAATTTTGTAATAAAAAAAGGGTTGTTATTTGTGCTGGACCCTGTATATGTACCCTCTATGTTCACTGTGCATTATTTACCATAGCCAAGAGATAGAAGCAAACGAGATGTCCATCAATAGAGGAAGGGATAAAGAAGACGTGGTATATAAATATAATGGAATATTATTCAACAATAAAAAATGAAATCTTGCAACTTGCAACAACATGGATGGACCTACGCTAAGTGAAATAAGTCAGACAGAGAACAACAAATACCTGGTACCCCTGGCCCCTGGGCTCCCACTAAGCTCTGCCCTTGCCCAGCAAAGCCTGGCTTTGGTTTTCCCAGCTCTCCAGAACTCTCTGTTCCACCTGCCCTCTCGGCCTGGCTCTGGGAGCCCCCGACAATTTGGCCCTGGCCTGCCTTCCAGGCTCCGCTCCCACCAGACCATTCCCATCTCATGGACACACCGGGCACCCTTATCTCTGGGCCTTTGTTAAAGCCAGCACAGCCCCTGGAATGCTCTCCGTCCACGCCTTCCAAACTCCTACCATCCTTCTAGAGCTAGTTCTAGGCTCATTTTCTTGGGAAAGCTTCCCAGAGCAAAACTAATGTGTCCCTCCTGGTCCTCTCATAGCTGCTGGGCCAGGATGACAGCACATCCAAATCTGCCTTGCGCCAGAGTTCCTGTGTCCATCTGCCTCTTTCACTGGATTGTGAACCTGGAGGGCAGAGGGTATTTCTTCTTCTTCTAATCTGTCTCTTTTTCACGTCCCTCTGTGTCTCCCCCAGACCCCATCTCAGTCTATCCCTACCCTGTTCTCTTTCCTCAATCCTTCCTTCCATCCACCCTTTCCCACCAGGTCCTTCTCTTCCTGCCCCATCCATCAGGGGAGCCTGTGCTATGCTGGATCCATGAAGATCCTCTTGAACGTTGGAGTCTTGGAGGTGCAGGGGTGGAGCCTGCCTGGCCCTTGTTGTGTTCCAGGCTACTGGCCCTGCTGCCTGCTGAGCTGCCTCGGAAAGTCTCACTGCCAAGCCCAAGGCGGACCCAAAGGTCCAGTCTCTAAGAGCAGCCTTCCTTAAGTGGGGTGGATCCCGGCAATAGAGAGGAGTCTGCAGGGGGACCCATGGAGCCGTTTGAGCCAGACTTCAGACCCAGAACAAATCCCTTGGCTTGCAAAATGCAAGGATTGGCAGTCAGGAGGGGCTCCCAGCTAGATGCACCAACTGTAATTCTGAGAACGGGGAGAAGACAGTTGTGAAGAGTCACAGAGGCTCATGGGCCCCTATGGTCTTACCAAATTACCTGGTTGGGGCTGCCCGGTTGAAGAGCAGGTCTGTTCTCTTGGAAGGACAGATACTGGCCAGGGGAGAAACCCAGCCACACCCATAATACATGTCTTAAAAGAGCAGAGGTAGTCTGTGGGATGTGGAGAAGGAGAACCAGCCCTAGCCCTGGCCTCGCCATTGATTTTCTGTGTGAGTCTCAATTCTCTTATCTGTACAATGGGGTGAGGGTTGATGTCCAGCCTGACACCTGGAGGAACATCCCATCTATGATACCATGGCAGTCATCTTGGGGCTTGGATGATCTTACTTGGGTCACCCGGTAACTGAGGGGATGTGGATGTTCAAGCAGAAAGAGGCAAAGCAGGAGGACCTTGGCTGGCTCCACACAGAACAGCCATAGAAGGCTAAGCAGTCAAGTCACAGTGGCCAAGATCTCAGACTGTGGTGTCTAAAAAGATGGGGCCCAAACCCAGCCCTCCTTGCTTTTTGAAAGTGTGATTGGAGCAGGTTGCTTAATTTCAGCCTCAGTTTCCGGACCTATGAAATGGGGTTTATGACTCATCATGTTATGGTGAGAAATGAATGAGGTATTTTATGTAAAGCCCTGAGCCCAGTGTCTGGGACATACTAAGTGCTCAATTCATGTTGGCTACTGCTGTTCTGCAGGAGAGGCCCACATATTTAAAAGTCATCTTGCACTTCTTTCAGGGCCAGCGTAGCAAATGACTGCCTTAAAAGTGATAAAATGTCCAATTACAGGCCGACCCATCCAGGGTGAAACGGCCCAAGCCCATGCTCATATAACCTGGCCTTGGGTGCCCTAAATATTTATGTTTCTCTTTCAGACTGCATAAAAATTATGTGTTTCCTATAACAATCATAAAACATATACACGTAAAAAAACCATATGGAAGAAAATAAAAATGACGCAGTCAAGCAGGTCTGGATTTGAATGCCATCCCTGATTTATCCATTATGGGGTCTCGGTTGAGCAGGGCTCTTAATTGTTTGATCCTCAGTTTTCCCATTGTACATGGGGGTGAATAATGCCCATCACATAGGGTAGTCGTGAGGGCAACATGAATAGTGAGAGTAAAGTCCCACTGTGCCTGCAATGCGTTAGCGTCACCCCATCAGCCCAGCCACTTAGAGAAAACGGCTATTCACACTTCTTGTACTTTTTAAAATTTTTTCTATGTATATATGCTATGTGAATAATATTAACATACCTGTATACATATGTGTTTATTAATTTGAGGGTACATTGCTTATTCTTTTTCTGTTACCGTTGTAGCATAACCTTGTAGCATTATACTCATGAGGTGCTAACCCATGGGGGAGGGTGTCTGATTTTGAACCTAGGTATATGTAATTCAAATGCTTTTTAAAAAAATTTTTAAAAAAAGATTTTATTTATATATTTTGAGAGAGAGGGAGAGAAACCTCAGCATGTGAGAGAGATACATCAGTTGGTTGCCTCTCACACGCCTCTTACTGGGGACCTGGCCCCAACCCAGGCATGTGCGCTGACTGGGAATCAAACCAGTGACTGTTCCGTTCTCAGGCTGGCACTCAATCCACTGAGCCACACCAGCCAGAGCTCAAATGCTTTAACCATTGAGCTTGGTAAAGACACTCTTGGCTTTCTACCCGCACCTCAGTGTTTCTCAACATTTTTTCATTACCGCATCTCTTCCTCAAGAAGCCTTTTTAGATTTTTATTTTCCTAATTCCATCCCTCAATACATTTTCTTTAAAAAAGGTTCATTTTGAAATAATTATAGATTCACAGGAAGTTGTAAAGACAGTACCGCGAGATCCTGTGTACATTTCATCTGGCTTCCCGCAACGGTTATCTCTTCCGGAACTACAGCACAAGGTCAAAATCAGAAAATGGACGTCGGTACAAGCTGTGTGGATAGTTCTATGTCATTTCATCACGTGCAGATTCGCGCAACCACAACCATTGTCAAGATACAGAACCGCTCCATCAGCAACAGGACGTCCCTTAGGCTGTCCCCTTGCAGTCACACCCCTCTCCTTCCACCATGTCTACCCCGCAGCAGCCACTGATCTATGTTCCATCTCTACAGTTTTGTCATTTCAAGAATGCTATATAAATGGACTCAACAGTATGTGACATTTTGAGATTGGCCTTCCCCCGCCCCCCACACACCGTAATGCCCTCGAGAGCTATCCAGGTTGTTGTGTGTGTCAATAGTTCATTCCTTTTTATTGCTGAGTAATAGTCCATGGTGTAGATAGACCACAGTTTGTTGAACCGTTAACCTATTGAAGGGCATCTAGGTTGTTTCCAGTTTGTGTTATTACAGATAAAGCTACCATGAACAATCTTGTATAGATTTTTTGCGGACATAAGTTTTCATTCATCTGGGATGAATGCCCAGGAGGGCAATTGCTGGGTCTGATAGTAGTTGTATGTTTAGGTTTTTGTTTTTAAAAGAACTGCCAGAGTATTTTCCAGAAGAGCTGTACCATTTTACATTCCCATGAGCAATGTATGAGAAATCTAGTTTCTTTACATTCTTGCCAGTGTTTGCTATTGTCACCAGAGGTTTGGTGAGACACTTTAATCACCGAGCCAACTCTCAAGAGGTCAGGGAAATAGCTGGGTTGGATGAGTTTGGTGCAGGCCCCTGTTTGAAGAACAAGGCCACAGCCTGGACAAATGGAGAATAAAATGCTTTGACTCTAAGGTGAATAACTGAACCCAGGCACCAAGCTGGGGACTCCTGTAAGGGGTGGGGCATGAAAACCTCCTTCCTGAGCCCAGGTCTACCTCAGACCAGAGCTGCCTCCTATATAGCTGGTGTCTGCCACGGCTGTCGCAGTGACGTGGTACCTGGAAAATGCTTGAGCTGTGAGCCCTGCATCACTCAGCCTGATGCCAGATGCAGCTGCAGGACTCACTGCCCATCAACAGCTCACTGCCCACCTCGTCCCTGGCCCCGACTCACCCAGGCCAAAGTGTGCCACGGGTTCCATCTCGCACAGGTAGCCTGAGCCTCCGTCGATGATCCTCAGGTGGGCCCCGCTCTTCTTGGTGTAGAGCACAACCTTAGCCCCCCTGGCGAAGGCCCCAAACTGGGTCCGTGGCACCACTCGGAGCCAGTTGTTGCTGAAGCCCTGCAGGAAGGGAAGAAGGCAGGCCAGCATCAGCGGGGTGGGCGGAGGAGCGGGGACCTAGGGCAGGGCAGGGAGGGAGAGGGAGGGAGAAGGAGGAAGAGAAGAAAAGGGGCAGAGGAAAGGGAGAGGAGGAGGAAGCTGGCAGGGAAGGTCAGTGAGGAAGACTGGCTGGAGTTTGGGAAGAGAAACACTGGAAAAGAGGAGGGAAGCCAATAGACTCAGGAAGAACAGTTTCCGAAGATGTGCCCATGGGAGGCAAAGGGGCAGAGGGCTTCCCCTGGGAGGCAGGCCTTCTGGGAGGTTTACTGTGCTGCTGGGGATTTTTTTTGCTTCCTCCAGGCCCCGGCTGTCCATTTCTCAGGACGAATCCTGAGCTCCTCTGCCCTCATCCACCCTAGGCCCGGGGGACCACATCTGGCTGGGCTCTGTGGTTCCTGAGGTCCCCACACACCTGATTTCCCCGGAAGACGGACAGCGGCTGAGCCATGGATTCTCCGTGGGACAAGATGAGGTCCAGCATCCCATCTCCATCGAAGTCTGTCACCACACCCCCTGCAACAACGCACATTGCATTCTGGCCATTGGCCAGGAGACCCACGGGGGAGGGGCCTTCCGCCCAGCACCGTCCACAGCCGGGAGTCGGGGAGGTGCTGGGGTAGGAGTCTGAGGCTGGAAGCCCGGCTCCTCCCCTTTCTAACAGCCATCCCATGAGAGAAATTCATGGAAGAGGGGTTCCCTTTCCTTCCCAGGACTTCTGCATGGGCACGGCGGGCACTAATTATTCAGACCATGAGGACTTCTTCTGGTCTTTATATTATACATGTCTTTTGTATTTGCACAGTTTTTGTCAATCTGCCAAGTGTTTGCTTCTATTCGGTTTCCTTTTGGTCTTCACTACACTCAGGTGAGAAGGACAGATGTAATTGCCTGCATTTAATGGAGGTGGGGAACCAGACCCAGATGAAGTCACTTTTCTAAGACCACCAGCAAGGCAATGGCAGGACTGGGTCTTGGGACCCCTAATCCAGTGTTCTTTCTTTGACACCAGGCTGAGTGCCAAGAAGGGAGGGGTTGGACTTCAGGACCCCCAACCTCTCCTTTCTATCCCACCCATCAAGGCATTGCCAGATAGATCCTTGGCCCCAGCCACGGCCCCAGCCGCTCTGGGACTGGGAGGATGGGCCATCCATCCCCTCCTCTGCTTCCTGACTGACGCTTTCAGGAACTTCTTCTTCACTCTCACTCCTGCCCTAGGGTCTTATCCCTTAGAATAGGAGGGACTGGAGGAGCCCTGTGGTGCAACTGGATGCCCCATCCTTCCCTCCCTCATCCCAGGGTATGGGCAGCGCTGAGATGGGAGAGGGCAGGCTGAGCCCTTAGGTGCCTCACCTGTGCCCCGGCCCTCAGGCTCCAAGGCATCTCCAGGATTGAGCTCCTCAATGAGGGGGTCGCCGTGTTCCCTGCGAATGACGCTGTTGGAGAAGACACAGGCCGTTCATGGATGAGTAACCAGCTGGGGAGGCCCCATGGCTACCTGGACCTAGAGACCTACTGGCTTACTTCATTCTCTGTCCCTTGAACATCCCTGGGTCCCACTATGCATGGGCTGCAACCTGCCTGCCTGCGGAGCCACTCTTTGTTCACAAACACTGTCTACACCCTCTTCTTGGGTTTTAATTTACGTTGGTAAATATTGATTTTTTCCTTCTCTAATGGATGAATTATAGACAATCTTGGGAAGGCCAGTTGATGGATGGAGAAGGGACAAGGACACCGCTACCTTCAAATGACCTTTACTTTCTTTCAAGTGGCCCTAGGTTTCCAAGTTCCAGATGGTAGCTGGGTTCAAACCCCACTCAAATGCCACCTCCCCCAAGTTCTCTCTGGTTGTCCCGCTAGAGGCAATGCCTTCCTTCTCTGCCTTTATCACTTGCCTGGCCTTTATCACTTTCTGCCTGTGTCAAAGCTCTGTATAAATGCATCTTATCTCCCCAGTTAGACTGTGAGCTCTTTGCAGGCTGGGCCATGTATTATTCATCTTTGCGTCTCCACAGCATCTAACATAGAGCCAGGCTTTTGGAGCACTCCAAGCACACGTCTGTGGGATGCATGGATGAATTCCAAAGGCGAAGGGAGGGAAGGGGTCCCTTTGGGTTGCAGGGGTTCTGTCTATTTTGAACTCTGAACGGCAGTAATATTTGCTCCAGGAAAGTCCACTGTGAAAGTCCTGCTCTTTCTCCACACTGAGCTGACTGCTTCTGATGGCTGTGAGCATTCCTTCTCTAATTTTTCTCCCTCATTTGATTTTCCCAGCCTTGGGTGCTCTGCCCTTAATGTGTGGAGCAATGCTGGGGAGCAATCAGAGGGCCAGGGGGCATCTGTATGCACCCCTCCGCACACACAAACTGCAGGTGACTGTTGTCCACCCAAATCACAGAGTCACCAGAGGGCTGTGATGTGGCCGGTGCTTTCAGGAGGGGACGGGGGTCCATGGGGCTGGAGCCCCTGGGGACTGGATGGCAAAGAGTGCTGGCAGAACTGCAGGGTGTCTGCAGGGTTGAGCAGATGCCCTGAGAGATGTCCTCTGTCCACACGGGGCACATGTGCTGAGCACAGCCACGTGTGCATTTTGGGTAGTGGGCAGCGTGCCTGGTTGCACTTGCCTGTGTGCACACTTGCTGGAGGCGTGTATGCCTCAGCCTGCCGACACCCGCAGTCCCTTTGACCGCTCGGGTCCTGCAGACTGTCAAAGATGGGCAGAGACACCTCTTGGTTCAGGGGACAAGGCAGTTAAGGGTTTCTAAGGATAAAGCCCGCAGTTCCACCGCATGTATGTCTTCACTGAGCAAGTTCTTCTGCAGCAAGTTGTGTGCCGGGCACTGTGTGGGAGCCTGTGGCCGTGGTGTGCATCAGGAAGAGAGGGGCTCAGGATCCACGATGACAGGGAACCTCATGCAGAGCACTGAAGGGCTGAGGGCAGGCAGGGAGAGTGGGGCCAGGGAGGGCGCAGCTGGGCAAGCTCGTCCAGATGAAGAGGGGGGAACGAGGCAGAGGGTGTGGGCGCCACGGGGGTCCAGGCCCGGCAGAGCCCAGAACTGAAAGAAGCTGGGGGTGCTTGGGGCTTAACTCTAACAGGGAAGTGGAGAGTGTGGAGGCTGCGGACAAAACTGGTAGCCGTGGGATGTGTCAAAGAGAAGGCTTCTAAAAGGTTTCAAGTGGAAGAGGCATGTGGCCAGGTTTGTATTTTCAACTGCTTGTTCTGCAGGACTAGACACGGGGAGGCGGCTGGAGGTGGGTACAGGAATCCGCTAGAGAGAGAGCGGGGGTAGCACAGGGCAGAGAGAGGAGGACAGGTCAGAGGAGTCCTTAGATGGATACGTTGTGTGACCACGCGTGTCCCAGGTGATGCCTGTTGCCCTGCCACTATTCGTAGTGCCCCCTTCCACTCTCACAAAGCTCCCAGTTTGGGCAATGCATTCTCCGGTCACCCTAGGCGTTGCTGTAGGACTTGCAGACTCAAGCCCAGTGCCTCCTACAAGGAGCCCACCGTGTTCCATTTGGTGACAGGGGTAGGTGGGTGCTAAACTTCCAGAGCTGTCGGCGGTGTGGGGGCCTCAGCTGCATGCTCAAGACCCAGCCATCTGCCACAGGGACGTGGGGCACAGTCACGTACCTGGGAAGTAGCTTCCACTGCTGCTGCATTGAAGCAGACACACTCACGGGGCAACTGCTTCGTGACACTAAGGACAGCCCTGTGCCAGGCAGCCCGTGGGGTGGCCCAGGGGGGCACTGGGAGGTTTGACGGAGGCCAGGCAGGCAGGCAGATGGACAGGGGAGGTGCCTGGGTTCTTGGGCCACAGAGCTGAGAGCACTAGACTCCTTGGTGATCAGGGACCCTGGCAAGTGACACTTTATTAGCCAGAGAAGGAAGGCAGTGTCTCTGTTAACGAGCAATTGATCTTCTGCAATTAATCTGGAAGTTGTGAATAAGCTTTTTGCAAGGCACCTAATTAGTAAATCTGGTGCCTTCAGGGGGTGATTACATCCAGTCAGGATTGATGCTTTGTTAATAATTATATTTTAAACATGCTTAGTCCCAGCTCTTACTTTTTATTAATAGCTGGGGACCTCCTGGAGGAGAGGATGGGGACCTAGGGGAGCCTAGCAGGTGATTGGCCTCTTTCCTGAATCACCCCTTGGCCCACCCTTTTCTCACCTCCCCCATCCCATCCTGAGCTCCATTAGCATATTTCATACCAGGAACAGGCCCACCTCAGGCCAACAATGGTTCTCAAACTTTATGCCTGATGCCTAATGTAGTTGTTAAAAATAGATTCCCGGGCTCCACCTCCTGAGGTTCTGATTCAGGAGATCAAGTGGGCCCTGGGATTCTACTCTAAGCAAGCACTCTGGGTGACTGATGCCGACGGTCTCCGGACCCTTTGTAGACAAGGATTGCCTCTGAAAACCCAGTCCTTCCTCCCCGGACACATGCCCAGATGCTTGCGATTTCTTCCACTCTGTTACTTCATTTGACTTGTCTACCATTAATGGTCTCATCCAGCATTTCCCAAAGGATGTCTTGTAGAACATGAGTCCCAAGATAAAAATCTTTGGAAAAAATGTCCTGTGGTCAAATCTATCTGGAATGTTCCACCCACCTTTTGGGGAGTAAAAATGCTTATGGTCATTTAAAGGCTCTGAGAAGTCCTGCAGTCAATAAACCTGCCTGTATTTGCTTGACCCAGTTGTACCTAAACAGATTTGACTCTGTAACCACTTTTTTGTGGTAGGGGGGATTTCTATCCTGTGGAGCTTGGCTTCTGGGGGTACTTTGGGCCATATCCCCTCTGCCCACCATCCCCCCCAACACTAGGAGGCCCACTTCCTACCCAGAGTTCACCCTCCATGCCCGCAGCCTCTTGTCCAACCTCTGTTCTTCCCTCCTTTCTGTTCCTTTATCAGGGTACCTCCTTCTACCTCAGCCCTTGGAACTCCCCTTCTGAGCTCTACACCTTCCTCCCTGACCCCAGCTGTCAAGGGTGAGCAGGCATGAGCCAAGCCGAAGCATCTACCGGAAGAGGCGGTTGGCTGAGGAGCTTCGGTGGGCGAAGTTGTTGAAGAAGATCTCTAGCTCCTGGTCATTGTCAAAGTCAGCGGCGATGACTGTGCGGACAGGGGAGGGCATGGAGAACTTGGGTGAGGCAATGTCCTGGGAGGAGAGAGGACTGCAGGTCAGCAGACAGATACGTGGGAGAGTGGGACTGGGTGAAATGCCCATTCCCCCACTGTGTGTGTGCAGTTGAAGGTAAGACAGCCTGACCTAATGCCTCCTCTCTTACCTCCGTGGTAAGGGAGCTGGGGGGCTATGTTTAGAACTACAGAAACCTCTGGCGGCTTGTAGAACAACAAGGTAAGAGGTAAGAGGAACAGTCTCAATTCAGACCAGCAAGGCACACAGCTGTTCCTAATTGGGGTCACATGTAGCCCTCCCATCCATCACTTGAAGAAGCACAGACATTAGCATTCCCATTTTATAGGTGAGATAACTGAGTCCTGGAGGTGGAGGGGAATTGCCCCTAGTCATAGCTAGTGAGTAGGGCCATCGCCAGGGCTTCTGATTCCAGATGCAACACCCTTTCTAGTACACACCCTTACTCCTTAGTGAGAGTCAGGGACTTGGTGGATACAGGAAAGGGCTGTGCATTTGAATCCAGACTTCTTTACTGATGCGCTGTGTGATCTTCGGCAAGTTACTGAACCTCTCAGATCTCAGTTTCCTCATCAGTAACATGGGAATAGTCATAGTGGTCTAGGTTGTGAGGACTGCATGTAAAATGCTCGGTGCAGAATGGGCAGGAGATAGATCACTGGCAGTCTGTCCTGGCCTTGCCCTTGCTCTCAGCCTCATGGAACGTGGCAGAGGCCACCTTTGGCTGTGTTTTTGCTGCCTCTGTTCCCTTATATTGTTTCTTGAGAGTCTTTTGATTTTTTTAAAAGACATTTACTTTGGGGAGTTGCAGAGATGCTTGTCCAGGGCTCAGGAGGGACCCCAAAGTGCGGACAGGGCCTCAGTGGACCTGGCAAAGGGTCACAGGTGTGGGGCTTGCCTTTGGAATAGAGGGAGAGCTGTGTAGGGTGACCTTTGGGCCCTGGGAGCCTGCCTGAATCCCAGGGCCCTTGTGGAGGGGGCTGCGAAGGGCACGGTGGTGTTTTCGGGAGTGCCCCTCTGCGCCTTGGCTGGCCTCGTCTCTGGGCTTCATACTGCAGGCCCCCATCTGTTGGCTGGAGGAATGAGCCGGCCTGGGGCAACTGGTGAGCTGCCTCTTCTGGAGAGGCCAAGGAGGGAGGTTGTCCCCATCAGAGCAGAAAGGAAGCTAAGAGCCCAGCCAGGTGGCCGGGGCAGGGTAGTGGGGGGTTGAGCAGGGCATTAAGAGCTGGGAAGCAAAGGCCTCAGGATCTCTAACTCCTTATTAAGCTATTGATCCTGTAAAAATGGAAACCTGCATAGTTCCCGTGGGGTTGCCCCACTGGACGCCTGGGCTTCCAAGATAATGTATGTAAAGCGCTTAGTGAAGTTCCTGGCACATGGAAGACACTTGATAAATGGGGCATCTATTATTATTATTATTATTATTATTATTATTATTATTATTATTGCTCCTGTGAGCTCTGGGGAGGACCCATCGGGAGGTTAGCAGGGCTCCTCAGCCTCGGCACACTGATGTCGGGGCTGGGCCATTCTTTGCTATGGGGCTGTCCTGTGCATTGTGGGGTGTTTAATAGCACCCCTGGCCTCTGCCCACTGGATGCCCCTGGCCCCCTCTAACCCATTTGTGACAACCAAGAAGACATTGTTTGGTGTCTTTGAGTAGGGGCAAAAGTGTCTCTGGTTGAGAATCTGGGTTAGAACAAAAAGCTGAATAAAGATGAAAATCCTCCATGATCCCAGGATCAACGGCCCGAGTTCAGGGCACGCCTCCCCCGCCCCCGCCCCCCCCCCCCGCCGTCCCGCCCAGAGAGCCTGGCTCTCAAACCTCTGAAGGGACCGAGCAGCTGGGCCTGAGCACCCCGGGGTGGCTGCCTATGGGGCAGGGAGCTGGGGTAGTCACCCAGACACAAGGTTCCTGGAGACTCCCCTGGGACAATCAAACCTCCGGCAAATGCTGGAACTTTCTCAGTCCCTTAGGGGTTTTTGCCAAGACCAGGGTACCTCCAGAACAGTCCTGACCCCTCGAGATCAGCTTCAACAGTCCATTGTCCTCCATTGCCCTTCTTGGGAAAGCCCCAAACTCAAGCTCATCAGGCTGGTGGCACCTCCGTTACTGTCACCAAACAGCCCCTTTGAAGAATTCTTGGCATCACAGTCTGTTGGCAGCTCAAAGAGGGGGCATAGAGGGGGGCTTGCCCTCCCTCTGTCATTTGTCCTTAGGGGGCAGCTGCTGGATGTGGCCTCAATTTCCCCACACCCCGACTCCCCACTGTACTCTCAGGCAGAGCCTCAGCTGGCAAAGCCCAGGCTGTGGCTGCAGATTAGGTTTTCCAAGAGCCATCAGGAAAAACGCCCCATCCAGAGGATGAAGTGCCCCTCACAGGACCCGCTTTGCTCTGCCCACCTTCAGGGGCTGCTGCTGTTGTTCTGTGCCACTCACAGGACCCCCTTTGCTCTGCCCACCTTCAGGGGCTGCTGCTGTTGTTCTGTGCCCCTCACAGAACCCCCTTTGCTCTGCCCACCTTCTGGGGCTGCTGTCTCTGCTCCGGCCACTAGAGATGTTACGGCAGCCCAGGCTGGAGTCTGTCTTGGCCTCAAGGAGTTACAATACCTTCTTCGTGCCTCCTCATGCCCCTGTGCCCCCAGGCTCTGCAGAGCCACAAGCTCCTTCTCAGCCTGGTGGGAGTACAGGCGGGGCTGCATCCCCAGGACCTGCCAGGGCCACTCACGGTGCTGGGTGGCGGAAGGGAGGGGAGAGGGAGGGAGAGGCCCCTTCTTACCCGAAAGCGGACCTTCCCGTGGGCGCTCATCTGCAGATAGAGGCGGTGGGGGCCGTTCCAGTTGCCATAGACGATGTCCACTTTGCCGTCCCGGTTGAAGTCGGCCAGGGCCACACCTCGCCCATGCTGGTGGGGGTCGTCCACACCTGGGAGGAAAGGCGGGGGCCCTCAGGTCAGTGGCCTTGCTGGGGCTCCATGAAGAGCAACAAGAGAGGGTGACCCTCTGCTGTCCCTGCCCTCCTGGGCACAGGTGGGGAGATATGGCTGGAGTCTCAGAATTTTCCCACAGGGGTGGGAGGTAGGACAGCCATCTAGTTCAAAAAGGAACCAGAAACCTGTCTTCAAGTATCATTTGCCCACCCAGCACAGTATTTTTACTCAGTTTGGGAGTAGCATGGGGAGGGGGAGACTAGTGAAAATTCTAGAGGACTGAAGCGCTCCCCAGCTACCCCGACACTGCCGCTGGGACAGCAATCTTTTGCTTAAATCTCTCAGTGGCTCCCCAGTACTCTTGGGTCAAATTCAACTTGCTGCCTGGGGAGGGCAGGGTCCCTGTCCACCTCACCTGGTTTTTATCTGGTACCACTCTCCCTCTTAAGCCTAAGTACTGGCCACCCCTGTTTCTTTCATTCCTGAAACGAACCAAGCTCTTTCTAGCTTCTGGGTCTTTGCTCAAGCTGGTCTCTTCTGGAATGCTCTTTTTCTGGCTCTTGGTTTCCTGGCTCCTTGTTTTTAATTCCGCTACTAGGCACTATGTCACCTCCTCAGGGAAGCCTTCCCTGACCACTCCCATGAAAACAGTCCCTCCCACGCACCCTGGTATTCACCCTGACAGTCCCCCATTCTTTTCCTTCATTGTGCAGATTATATGCATAATTATGTTCCCTTAGGGTTTAGTTGCTTAGGGCTGGTTCCTACTAGACCTTAGGCTCCACGAGGTCAGAGACTGCCTTCTTATTCACCTCAGTTCACACAGCATCTACTCAGTGCCTGTGGTGACTTAGTAGTTTTCAATAAATACTTACTGAATAAATGAAGAGACATAAATAATTTACCAGAAGGCAACTGGGGACGTTGGTGACAGCAGAGGAAATACCGCACCATGGCAGAAAAACCAAGAGCATGCTTTGTGTGATCTGGAAAGGGAAGCTTGCGTGTCCAATGTCACCTGCTCATGCTGTCCCGGAACCTGCTAGTGGCCAGTGGGACTGAACTGATGCTGGGAGAAGATGGAGGGTGGCTCTGTCCAACGAGGTGGCCTGACCTCCTGGCTGCCCAAGGCAGACATTTCCCTCTGCCCAAGCACAGGACTGAGAGGTGGCTCCAAATACCCACACTGACTCCTTTGGAGGACAAATTGCCATTGGTCATCAGGCCCTCAGAGATGGCAGGTGACAAAACAATATAATGGGGAGTGGGGACCACAGACCCTGAGGCACAGGGAGCTCTGGGCAGCTGCAAGCACAGAGATCTTGAGGCTGGGAGTCAGGAGAAGGCGGGGGTGCCCTCCCCCAGAACCTGGGGGGCTGAGCATCCTCTTGAGGGAGGAAAAGATCTGAGGATGCGGGTGGGAGACTGGAGAGGGGAGGCAGGAGACCTGGGCTTGAGAAGGAAGGTTTGCAAAGGAAATGGGGGTAGCTTCCAGCCTCTAGGATTAATAACCCATTAATTCTCTGCAACCCCCCCACCCCCCAGCCCTGATGCTGGTGGCCTTTTGTGTTGGCCCATTTCTCTCCTAGCTACGAGGCGCCTTGACAAGGAGCCGGTTCCCTTTCACGGGAATAATCGGTACCAGTCCGCATTTCACAGCAGCATCTGTTTGGGTGATGAATGCCCTCTTGACATGTCTTGTTAAACCCCTGCAATCATTCTGACTTTCAATTACGGGCCTCGCACCTTTCCTCTCTCCTCCCGTCTGATACCTTCTCCCACTCCAACTCACTCGCTCACCTCTGCTTCCATCTCTTTAACACCTTATCAAATCCTCTAGGTTTTCTCCACCACCACCTCGCCTTCGTCTTATGATTTTTCAGCAATGAGAAAATTTGCTGCCAGAGTATACAGAACTAGGAGGGGTGAACTATGGGGAGGACAGGCCAGGGGAGCTGCCTGGCTACAAGTGTGTGTGTGGGGAGGGGCGGGCGGGGGGGGGGAGCTCAAAATGGGAACTGAACAGAGAGCTGGGGAGGAGGTACTGGGATGTCAGAGACTGGATTGACACAAGCTCAGGGATTTGATGCTCCTGCCAGCACTAGCTGGAGTTTGTAGGACTTTTGATCTATGTCTCCAGGTCCCTGCTCATCTCTTCTTGGGGAGGCCAGAGTGTGTCCCTAGGCCACCAGGAAGGAGGTGAAATTAAACCTTTCATTCATTGGCAAGGTGGGGAGAGCCTGGGCAGGGAGAACTGGTTGAAGGGCAGACTGACTACATCCATCAACTTTTATTGTGTCCATTCTGTCATTCAGTAAAATTTACTGGGTGACCACTGCATGCCAAGCATTGTGTCAAGAATGCATAGTACAGAGCCCAGTCCTTGCAGACACAAAGAGGCTGTTAAAGCCCGGGTGACAGGTACATGCAAGGCAGTGGGGACACAGAGGAGGGAATGCTAATCTCTTCCGCAGAGGGAGGCAGGAAAGGCTTTGCAGATAACAATGAACTGAGTGTTGGAAGATAATCAGTTCTGCAGAACTCATCAAGAAGGGGGAGGGGCACTTCAGGTAGAGAGAACAGCAGGTGCAAAGGCCCTGAGGCAGATGAGGATGAGCACAAAGGGAAATGGGGGGGAGCAGAGCTGGGTGCCTAGAGCACTATTTTGAGCAGATTTTATCTTGTTTCTTCTTATAGCTATTTGTTTCTTTGTCTGTTTCCCCTTCTAGGAAGTCAGTGCCTTGTGTATGTGTGAAAGGGTGGTCTCAACATCATTCAGGTCAGCATCCCCAGCTCTTAGCACCAGCCTGGCAGTTAGCAGGAGCTCAATAAAATGGTTATTGGATCGAATTGAATGCTTAATAATGCTTAATTAAGATAAATGCGGGGAGGGGAAATAGAGAGAGGCAGGGGAAATTAATGCTGAGACTCAAGCAGGACTCAGAAAGACTTGGGCCAAGTCCAGTTGCTGGAAAATGAGTAATAGTCGGAGTTCCAGGCCCCCTGTCCTCAGCGGCAAACACCCCCTGTCTGAGCCACGGTGGGAGTGTGCCGCTGGAGATGACAAGCAACGTCTCCCTGTGTGGGGTGGGGGATGTCTTGTCCCACCCCCCCGAGGCCTGTGGGGTCATGCTTGAGGGGGCAGGGCAGTCTGGAGTCCCCTGGGAGTCTGGGGGGCCGAGGGGCCCAGGGCAGCAGCTACACTCACCAGCGCTGGCTGCAGCGTCCACGAAGGTGCCATCACCCCGGTTATGGAAGAGGAAGTTGGGCCCATTCTCGTTGTCACAGAAGATATCGGAGGCGCTGCTGCTGAGGATGGGGCCCACGCTGACACCCCGGCCCCCTAGGAGAGGACATGGACCCTCAGTAAGTCGCAGAAGCAGAGCCCCAGTTCTGCATGGAGGAGGAGGAGGCTGCCTCTGAGGCCTATAAGGAGCTGCATTCATGGTGCCTCAGGAGAGCCTAGGGGTGGGGTGGGGGAGGGGATTCTGGCCTTCCAGAGGCTTCTGTCATTCCAGATCTGGGCTCAAAGTCCCACAAACCTATGTGGACGGTGACCACGCTGATGTTGAGGCAAGTGAGGAGCAAGACCAAGTCACTTTGTGCCGAAGGAATTACACCATGAACTAAGGAACACAGAGATGACTGAACTATAATATTCCCTAAACCCAGCTCCACCAACAACATCTTGGTCAAGTCACAGGTTTCCCTCACAACCCCACTCACACCCCAAGTCACACGTATGCTGGTCGGGTCACAGGGTGTGTTCCTGCCCTAGGAACTTATAGGAGTAGGTTCCAGCTGTAGTACAAGGATGCTTACCCTGCTTTGTTTGACCTAGTGAGCAACTGGGAACCTGCATGTCCATCAACAGAAACTGGCTGTTGGATTATGGTGCATCTATGTGATGACCCATTTTATAGCTTCTAAAAAGATGGCATAGATCCATATTTATTGACTTGGAGGAGTGCCCATCACATATTTTTAAGTAAAAAGCAATTTGCCAAGTAATCACATTGTGTGACCTTACTTTGATTTAAAAAAAAAGGAAGAAAAATATATGATATTTATGAACACATTTGTGCAAGTTTGCTTTTGAGTCTGGGGAAGAGTGAGAAAGGCTACACATGAGCTTCCCTGGCTACCGGATGAGGTAAGATTTGGGAGGGAAGAAGAGATGGTAGTTGGCCTCTTTTTTTTTAAAAGTATATTTTATTGATTATTCTATTACAGATGCCCCATTTTTTTCTTCCCTTTATTCCCCTCCACCCTCTGCCCACTCCCACCAGCATCCCCCCCTCTTAGTTCATGTCCATGGGGCGTACATATAAGTTCTTTGGCTTCTCCATTTCTTATACTATTTTAACCTCTCCCTGTCTATTTTGTACCTACAATTTATGCTTCCTATTCCCTGTAACTTTCTCCCATTCTCCCCCTCCACCTCCCCACTAATAACTTCCATGTGATTTCCATTTCTGTGATTCTGTTCCTGTTCTAGTTGTTTGCTTAGTGTGTTTTTGTTTTTGGTTTTAGGTTCAGTTGTTGATAGTCATGAATTTGTTGTCATTTTACTGTTCATAGTTTTGACCTTCTTTTTCTTAGATAAGTCCCTTTAACATTTCATATAATAAAGACTTAGTGATGATGAACTCCTTTAACTTGACCTTATCTGGGAAGCATTTTTTTCTGCCCTTCCATTCTAAATGGTAGCTTTGCTGGATAGAGTAATCTTGGATGTAGGTCCTTGCCTTTCATGACTTTGAATACTTTTTGCCAGCCCCTTCTTGCCTGTAAGGTTTCTTTTGAGAAATCAGCAGATAGTCTTATGGTAACCCCTTCATAGGCAACTCTCTCCTTTTCTCTTGCTGCTTTTAAGATTCTCTCCTTATTTTTAATCTTGGGTAATGTAATTATAATGTGCCTTGGTGTGTTCCTTCTTGAGTCCAATTTCTTTGGGACTCTCTAAGCTTCCTGGACTTCCTGGGAGTCTATTTCCTTGGCCAGATTGGGGAAGTTCTCCATTATTTTTTCAAATAAGTTTTCAATTTCTTGTTCTCCCTCTTCTCCTTCTGGCACCCCTATGATTCAGATGTTGAAACATTTAAAGTTGTCCCAGAGGTTCCTAATCCTCTTCTCATTTTTTTTAATTCTTGTCTCTTCATTCTGTTCCAGTTAAATGTTTATTTCTTCCTTCTGCTCCAAATCACTGATCTGAGTCCCGGTTTCCTTCCCTTCATTGTTAGTTTCCTGTATATTTTTCTTTATTTCACTTTTTTTTTAATTTCACTTTTTTCCTTTATTTTGTGACCATACTCAATCATTTCTGTGAGCATCCTGATTACCAGTGTTTTCAACTCTGTATCTGACAGGTTGGCTATCTCCACGTCACTTAGTTTTTTTTCTGGAGTTTCGATCTGTTCTTTCATTTGGGCCATATTTCTTTGTCTCAGCGCATCTGTTACATTGTAAGGGGCGGAGCCTTAGGTATTCGCTAGGGTGGGGCAAGCCATGTAGCAGTGTCTGTAGGGGTGGGGTCAGAGAGGGAACAATGCCACTTGCTTTGTTCTCAGCTGGCTTTTAGTCACTTCCCTTGCTACTCACAAGCGAATTGGGCCCTCCTGGTGCTGCAATTCCTGGATGGGTGGGCTTGTGTATGTTCCAGCACCCTGTGGGTCTTTCCAATGAACTCTCCTGTGAGGCTGGGAGTTTCTCCTGACACCGCAACCCCACAGATTTTTCACAGCCAGAGGTTTTGAGGCTTTCCTTTCCTGCAATGGAACCTTGGGTTATGTGCTCTGACTCACTCCCTAGTTGTTCCTCCTGGTTTATCTGCATGCAAATGTGGGACCGCCTGGTCAGCCAGCTGCTGCCTCACCTGCCAGGTCCTCCAGCCTCCGCCTTACCGTGCTTCCTCTCTGTCCTGGTTTCCATCTCTGCCCCTCCCACTAGTCTGGATGACTAGTTTCTTCTTTAACTCCTTGGTTGTTGGACTTCCATACAGTTTGATTTTTCTGGCATTTCTGTTTTTTTTTTTTTTTCAAACTTCTTGTCCTCTTTTGGATGCATGAGGAAGCAAAGCACATCTATCTACACTTCCATCTTGGCTGGAAGTCCAGTGGTTGGCCTTTTTTGTGGATATCTACGTATTGTTTGGCTTGTTCCAATGGATTTGTTTCTTTAGTTTAAAAGGGAAAAAAAAAATCCAGTGAAGTGTATTTTTTTTAAAAAAAGAAATAAATCCAGCCAAAACTACATTATAGTCTGAAGTCTCCAAGGTCAACTTTGGGCTATCCACGTCAACAAGTCCAGTCTCAAGATACCTTGAGCAAACTTGCCAGAGGGGTTCAAATAAAGCCTGAAAACCACACCCCCAAACATTGGAAATATCATGCAGAAAACAGCCTGACCAGGACCAAGACATGGATTCTAGCCCCATGGATTCTTGGCTTTTTACAAGACCATGTGACCTTGGGCAGTTTGTGTTACCCTTTTAGCCTCAGTTCCTTTATCTGCAGAAAGGAAGTAGCGTGCCCTGCTTTTGTTATTTCCAGGTTTTTGAGAGGATCAAGTGAGGTGAGCTATGTGAAAGGCCTTGTGGATCCCACTGCCTGCTGCTCAGAGCCAGGTCCACGGATGTCACCTGGGAGTTGTCAGAATGCCGAATCTCAGGCCTCTACCTCATCAGGCCTTACCTTTTAACAGGACCTCTGGTGGTCTCTGTGCACAGTTAACTCTGGAAAGTGTTGCAATAAAGGGCTGTTCAGTGCTGTCGGAACAGTTACCAGAGGTCTCAGAAGAACTTGATTTAAAAAAAAAAAAAATAAATGAGAGCTCAGGCAGACTCGAGGGCTGCTGGACTCCCCACCCCCACCCCCAGCCTCTGGGTGCAGCAGAGGTTTCCACAGAGTGACTGGGCCAATGTGGGATGGAGGTTCTCTTGGTCACCAGGCTCCTCCTGTCCTCTGAGACATGCCCCTGAAGGAAATCACTGGGTCTTTCTTACTTATGTAAGTAAATGCAGCCTGACCACCAGAGCCAGTGTTTGGGGACAGAGGGAAGGGATGGGGCAAATGGCATCGCCACTCTCATGGTGGGGCTCCTCGTCAACACATTCTGGGCCCTGTGCCTTCCAGATTCTTCTCAGAAAATCTTATTAGCTCTCAGAAAGAGCCCAAGCCTCATAAAAATGAAGCCACTAAGTCCACAACGCTGCTGGGGAGCATCATCCAAGATGGGACAAGAGCTTTTCATTAGGAGAGCCACAGCGAGGGCGGGGAAGCTTTCAGACGCCTTTCCTTTAAAGCCAGCAGGGAGGGGTGCTGGGCCACAACCTGGGCACCATGTCTGCCCATTCAGAGAGGAGCTGCTGAGTGGCTGTTGGCAGCTGTCCCTGCCCTGGCCCTGCCAGATTCCAGCTCAGGAGCAGGCTGTAGTGAGAGACTGCTGGCCTTGCCTGGGCCCCTGGAAATTCCAGGTGGGGCTCCGGGACTTGCTGCCATGCAGCGCCATCCTTCCTCCCCGGTCCCAGCATCTTCCAATTTCCTCTCCGCCCCTGGCTCCCAAGCCATGACACATTCCCTTCATTTTCTACAAAGCAGGTTATTTCCCTCTTGGACAAATTTCTAAATCTTTCTAATTAACTAATTGGGTTGGGTTGAAGCCTTGCACCATTTGTAACCTGTAATTACTAGAAAATTGCCATGGTAACCACACTACTAATTAGTGACAATTTATTGCCATGGCAATCAGACCATAACAGAGATGTTACCCACAACTCCTCCTTGGCAAGTTCGCTGCACAGTTGGGGTGCAGGTGAGTTAACAGTTGGGGAGCTGGCCTCTTGGCCACGGGCCCCAGCAGCCTCAGATGGAGGGGCCAAACTGGGGTCGCAGGCAGGGGCAGCCAGCTGTCTGCACCCCTCACTGGTGCTGCAGGAGACACTGTCCTCCCAGGCTGATCGTGTAAATCTTTAAAGCAATAAAATCCATCCACCCTAAGCATAGCCTGACACTCCCATTCCTGCCTGGTCAATGGTAGAGGCTTCTTACTCAGCAATTGTCTTTTACCTGGACCTTTCCCCTCCTCCCCCAGATTTTCCCCTTCCTCCGCACACTCCCCCTGTCTTCCTCTTCCTAAGGCTTAGCACACACCTTATGGGGCTACTCTGGGGGCAGTGAGGAACATCTTCATTTGGCCTTGGAGAACGATGTCCCAACAGGAAGTTGAACTCCATTTTACATCAATGAGCTCTTATACACTTGAGGCGGGCGTGTCCTCTGGATGACAAGCAGTGCCCGGGGGGAGGGGGCGCACTGGTGGTGGGAAAGACTGAGGATCAGAAAG